AGCGACAGTCCATTGGCACCAACCATCACCATCGGCACCAACCATCACCATCACCCAGCAACAGCCCATTATGTAATTGCAAATGTATACATACCATTAAAGCATTTAATGTTTTTAAATAATGTATTTAGTGTATTTTCAAATTATTACAAATTAATTTTTGAATGTATTTCACTATTTTCACATTTCCAAATACATGTTACTATAGTATTGCAACTTTTTTTTATGGAAGGGGCCCCCGAAATTGTTTTGCCCCATGCCCCTTAAATTCTCTGGGCAGCCCTGCCCAGGGTGTGTGAGGAGCCGGGGAGGGAGGGAAGCGCGGTCCCCTGGAGCCGAGCCCGGGCTGCAGTGGTGGCGAGAGGGGCTCTGGAGTGTGTGAAGAGGTGAGCGGCCGGCTGGGCTCCTCAGTGCTGAGCAGGTAGTCCTGCAGCCGGAGATCCTCGCCTTCCCACTCGCCAGGGCTGGGCCAGGGCGTGGTGAGGCTGAAGAGCAGCAGGTCTGGAGGGCTCTCCAGGTCCTCGGCTGCCAGCATGTCAGGCGGTGAGCATGAACTGATCCACCTTGGCCACCAGCAGCGCCGCGAAGCCCAGGGAGGGGGTCATGTTCTCCGTGCTGCCCCGCAGCCACACCACCACCTGGAAGTACTGCCGCTCCGTGCCGCCCAGCAGCTCCACCCGCATGGGGACAGAGTCACCGCTGGGCCAGGGCTTGGCTGCCGTGTGCTGGTAGCAGATCTCACGTTTGGGGGGGAGCCCAGTGCTGGGGTGGCAGGGGGTGCGGGTGGGAAGCTCAGGGCTGGGGGGGGGGCAGCCAAAAATTTTTTGCTTGGGGCGAGCAAAAAACCTAGAGCCGGCCCTGATCACTGTGAGTGTAGGCTGGGGTTCAGGTCTGAGAATGAATCTGGATTGGAGTTTGGATTTGAGACTGAATCTGAGCTGGGGATTTGGGTTTGATGCCAAATCAAGCCCAGGGCTCAGGCTGAGACCGAATCTGGGCTGATGTTCAGTTCGCTGACTGCATTAGGTCTGGGCTTTTTGTCTCTGACTGCAACAAGACTGGGGTTTGACGCTGGCCATGCTCAAGCATTCTTGCAGTCTGTTGGTTTCATCCAAGTCAGGCCTCTTGTGGATTTGGGTCTGACCCAAATAAAAACCTCAGGGGAGGATTTGGTTGTGGAAAATCAAATCTGAAGGGGCTCAATCTGAGGTTGTTTCTATTCCATCACCAGGTGCATAATATAGAAATATTCCTGATTGGTTCAAGCACGATCATATGATCTGGTTTAACATGCCACCCAGGCAAGAGTTTGGAGAAAGAGGCAATGGGTCAAATAGAGCAGGGCACTGAATTGTTTGGGAACCAAAACCAACAGACCAAACAAATGTTTTGTCTATGAAAGTGCTGCCTATTTCGTGTGAAGAGGTGAGGAGACTTGGGTACATGCCTAGACACCACGGTGAGAAGTGCATTAAAAGTGCTTCGATGGATAAACAGAACTTGATTTTCCTACATGAGGAAAGAGGCAAACGAATACCAGGGGATGAAGTACATAAAGAACTGAGGGATCTGAAGCAGCTGGACATCAGGGGCTCTTGAGTGAGTGAGCAAGCTGGTTCTAATCCTGGGTGTGTGTCCTGTAATGTTCTTCCCCGTGCTCTGCCCCATGGGTCTTTGTTATGTTAGCCCGGGCTAGCTCTGGTGTTGGTGGAGTGAAGCAGGATGTCAAGCAGACACCATTGCTCTGTACATTGAAAGGGGAGAGGGGGGGGGGTTGGCAGATGTGGTTGGAGAGAAGTCCAGGGCTTGGTGACAGGCCTTCCCGATGATCTCTCCCAGCTGTCACCTAGGAGGCACTGCCAGATCCTCTGCTCAGGGAGGTGGGGTTGGGGCAGAACAGCCACAGGGCACGGCAGCCGTTTTTTGCAGACGCCAAGATCCATAGGAATACCTGTGTTATACCATGAATCTCAGCATGTGTGCCTTCCCCCTCTAGGCTCCCTGCGCCAATGGCAGCATGGCTCTTACCCATGCCACACTGTCATTGGATGAGACCCGCCAACTGCCTACTTATAAATCCTCTGTGGAATGGGAAAACTACAGAAAGGGAGTTACCATTGATCTGAGCAGCAGTAAATGGTGCTGCCCTGAGAGGAGGCCATGCTGCACAGTGATTCTTCCCCTGAGGCCTCTTCCTGGGCACGCCCCTGATGGGCTGAGCATGACTCCAGCGAAGCAGCCGGGGAGGGGACAGAAGTGAGGGTGTGTCGGGGAGGGGACAGAAGTGAGGGTGTGTCGGGAGGGTTATGCCAAAGGGCCACTTTCCACCCCACACCTTAGGCACATATAGACATGAGAGGTTTGCAATTCTGCTTCCCTCATCACCTTGTTTGCTCTTGCTCTGTACTTTTGAGTTCCCTGCCCTTGTTTGTTTACATTTACAGCCTTTCTGCATTTAATTCCATTGTGTTCTTGTTTTATGCTCAATCTTTGCCAAAGGAAAGGCTTAGTTTTAAAACCCCCAAGCTGCATAGCTGTGGGGAAGCAACTCCAGTTAACCCCAAGCCTTCCTTGTTGCTGCCAATTTTCCCTCTGTTTGCTTGGGTGACTCGCTGGTGTCTTCACTCCTCTGTGGTTTTTCCATGGCCAAGCTGTAACTCTACAGAAGTTACAGACAGAAAACAGCAACTCTTGATTTCTGCTATCAAAAGGATAACCTTGTGGTTCAGGAGCGAGGCTTTGAGTTAGAAGGTCTGGGCTGAATTCATGGCTGTGTTACAGACCCCCTGTGTGACCTTGGACAAGTTGCTTAATATTTCTGTGACTTAGTTCTTTGTCTTTCCTCTCTAATTAGCGTGTAAGATCTTTAGGATAGGCATTGTCTCACTGCGTGTTTGTACAGCACTTTGCACAATGGGGTCGTGATCTCTGATCAGACCTCTAGGTGTTACAATGATCCTGATCTCTGGGGCTGGAGTAGTCACCTGGATAATGTGGCCCTAGATTAGCTAAATCAGTGACTCTGGCCCGTCAGTCACATTCACCTTTCATGCTGGTGGCAACAGACCTGGGTAAGGGGGCAGAAGTCTCCTATTTAAAGAGACACACCAACCCCTTTTCATAGAGATAATGTTATTCCTTAAATTGTAGGGCTGCAATCTCTTATTTGGTCATAAAGAACAGGAGGGCAGAAAGAAATTATGGAGAAGCATCCCATAGAGGCAGGATTACCATGCGCCATTTAATTTTAAAGCAAAACAGTCTGCAGAGCTATTTTCTTTCCTCTCTGTTTATGTTTACAGCATAAACAGAGAAGTGTTGCTGGAAGGTACAATGTAACACTACTTTATTTCATAGAATTTAGAATGATAATACACAAGAACCCTGAAACAGAGAAAACAGGCTGCTCCCTAAAACAAAGGTGCACAACTCACCCTCCCTTACTCTAGATTGGCTCTTCACAGACTGACTTTGATTTCATGCTTCCCTATAGACCCTCCCCTCCCCGCCCCCCCGCCTTCAAGAAGGCCCAGGAAAACCCCATATCATTTAGAGTTATAGATTAGTTTTCAATATACCACACTCTTCTCTTTTTAATACACCACTAATATCAGCATGGACTTTTTCCCTTCTGTGCTAATCTCTGGTGGCCAGTTGTTCCTCTGATGTTACTGCATGAAGAGATATATCTTGCATTTCGCTGCAAATGTGGTCAGGTCTGGGCTACTTCCCAGACCTTGGTAAACGGAGTTCAAGATGCAACACTGGCCAAGTGTTTGAGTCCCCTTTTATGGCTGGTCCAGACAACAGCTGCCTGCTAGTGTTCTCAGCTGATTAGTCCTTCAGCTCATGTGGTAGAGGCTTGTGTTTTGGAGCTAGAGGCCCTACGTTCAGTCTCCCTTGGTCACCCAAAGAGAGGGTTGTTGTTCAAAGCTGGGGCCTAATCTGAGAACTCTGCCCTGGATCTCCGCAAAATCCATTGCGGGTACTCTCAGCTCCTGTTTACAATAGCTCTTGTCCTCGGTGGCGGAGAGGCCTGCTCCAGTGAGGGATGAGAAGTGCTCCCTAAAGAGACTTTGGAGCTTTATTTAACCCACGAGGAAAAGACAGTGTCCTCGTAGGAGCCAGGTTTTCCTGTCCCAAGCTGTTGCTTGCAAGACACTGTAATGGGTGAAGGTATTAAACACGATCCACCTTTGGGGTTTCAGGACTCAAGCACATCCCCAAACTCTGTACTCTTCAAAACTTATCTGGGTGCCTGTGTAAAATGACCTGATGGTCTCTGTCCAGACCCTATCCCAGGGCCCGTATTACACCACCATCACACCTGCTGAAAACCTGGGCTTTGCTGTCAGTCTCTCTGGGTTGGCCAAAAACCAAATGGCCCACAGAGATGCAATTCTTCTCTCCCTCTCACCCCTCCAGGGAGGAGGGGAAGTGAAATGACTGGGCAGTGTGGGGAGGAGCTTGCACTGATGGTGCCCATAATATGCCAGCTTTTTGGTGAGGGGGCATCATTCTCTAGGGCTGTCAGTCCAGCACCTTTCCCCATCACCTACTGTGACGTTCAGTATCTTGTGGGAACACCCTACACCCCCATGTTCATCCTTATAAAATAATTGTATAGTATCCAATGCAAAGTTTGTCATGGGTGTCTTCGGAAGGCTCATGATGTACTGAGCGTTGTTGTAGTGATGTTATAGTAATTATTGTTGCAGTAATATAGTGATGTTATAGGTTATAATTTCATGTATATAGTTATGAGGCTGAAAATGTATCCTTGCGGATTAAAATAAGCCCAGGCAAAAACTCTCTAAGAGTAGAGGGACAGTTCACACCTCGTCAAAGCATGTATGGGACAAACCTAGCCCAGCCTCACAGGAACAAAGGATGCTGGCCTAGGCAGCAACAAAAGGATCTGTTGGACTCTTGAGTGAGTCACCCACCTTCCTTTAGTCAGTTTGGGACTGCGATGAGGTAATGCTCAATTTACTCTGAAGGTGAGGGCAAAGTCAAGATGGAAGAAAGAACACGATAAAAGGGAGAGACATTTGCCATACTCTTCCTCTCTCTGCCACCTACATCTACAGACACCACACCAAGTGACTGAAGCGCTGATCAAAGGGGCGAGCCTGGCTGAAGAGCAACCAGCCAGCCTATCGTGGTAAGCATCTAAGTTTGTAAGGACATTGAAAGCGTTAAGATCAGCTTAGAATGCGTTTTGCTTATCTTTCATTTGACCAAATCTGACTTGGTATGTTTTGACTTATAATCACTTAAAATCTATCCTTAGAGTTAATAAATCTGTTTGTTTATTGTACCTGAAGCTGTGCATTTGATTTGAAGCATACCAGAGACTCCCCTTGGGATAACAAGCCTGGTACATATAAATTTCTTTGTTAAATTGACAAACTCATATAAACTTGCAGCCTCCAGTGGGCATAACTGGACACTGCAAGATGGAGTTCCTAGCGTTGTGTCTGGGATTGAAGAGATTGACTAGTGTCATTCGGTTGCAAGTAGCTGGGAGCAGCTTACATGCCAGAGGCTGTGCGTGAACAGCCCAGGAGTGGGGGTTCTCGGCGCAGAGCAGGGTAAGGCTGGCTCCTAGAGTCAAGGATTGGAGAAGCCTAGCAGATCACTGGTCCAGATAACACCAGAGGGGAACGTCACACCTACACTCACTCAAAAATATTTAAAGAGGCAGAAGGAGATGGGGGAGAACACCTCTTAAAGTCCTCATTAACACTGGGCTACAATCCAGAATCCACCCCCTTCACGTTCCTCTGCAGCATCTGCCCACTTATAACAACACTTCCGATATCTGAGCGCCCAGGGGAGACAGCGAATTGACAGCCCGTGTTCCTCTCTCCCCTGCTTTAGTATTCTGAATGAAATGAAGCTGTGGGTATCAGACGCCCATGGGCTCTCACACAGCTCAGGGACGCTTTTGACTGAAATTTTTCCTCCTCAAAACCATGCAGATTTGGGTTGACCAAAATGTTTTGCAGATTTGGGTCAATTTGGTTTTGCTGAATTGTTGGGGGGTGGGGGTGGGGTTAAAAAAAAGGCAAAAGAGTTTGTTTTGATGTTTTTGAAATGATACGTTTAGATGGGTTTTTCATTCAAAATGACTTTCTTTCAACATTTCATTTAAATTTATTTAAAAATAGAAAACTGGGGGTGGAGGGAAACCTACTTAATTTCAAAATGAAACAGAGTTTGACCTGAAACAATATTTTGAATCATTTGGAAGTGCCAGCACACTGAAAAATCCATTAGTCACATGGTTCTAGGCATGGATGTTCTGGCACAGCCTGGGCTGGACCAGGAATAGCTGCTGTAAAGGAACTGCTAGACAGTGTTTAACACCATCGCAGTGGGCATTCAGAGCAATACCATGGCTCAGCGACAGCAATCACTGATCCACTGCAGTGCACTGTAATTATCCATTGTCAGAGTCAACACAGCGTGATGGATTGGCACAGAGGAGGGAGCGTTGGCCCTAGAGGGCAGCCAGGCTCAGTCCAGACCAAAACTCCCTGGCCCTTAGTCCTCTTCTAGCCACGCTCATGAGTCCCACACCCTCCAGATTGAGGATGGAGAAACAGGCAAAGCAAATCTGCCCTGTTACTACTGTGCCACCAAACTACAGGTGGGTAGGGGAAATCTAATGGCAGCCAATCGAGGGGCTGGAACCAGAGTATTGTACTAGGAGGGAGATTTCTGTGTGTACTACCAGGAGGCTGAACCTGCCTGGGGGAGGGGGAGGCAGCATTGTTATGTGGCCACTTGTTCCTTAGCAGCTGGACTGAAGCCACTGCAAAGACCTCCCATGGTCATAGATGCTACCAACTTTGGCCAGATTGGGGCTGGCAGAGTAGATGGGAAAATGCATTATCCCACTTCCACGTACTTTTCAGACTCCTGTCCACAACTAAAATCCTTCGCTGCTTCTTCCTTTGCAGGGAGATGAGTCTGGAATGTGTCCCTTACCTTGCTCCGCCAGTAAGTAGGCTTTGGTAGTACCTCTTTCAATGGCATGGTGGTATCAATGTACAGTATTGTCAGACTGTCCTGTCACCCTAACCCCCACCCCCAGCTACAATCCCTTAGGAAATGTAGTGAAACAGTCTGAAACCAACTCCCCTTTCTAGAAAGAGTTCTCCATGCACAAGCGAGACGAGTCTAAGATGAACCGTGAACATGGGGCTGGCGTGGAGGTGACTAGAGGCTGTGGCACTCCTTTCCATTGAGAGCGGAGGCGTGTTTCAACTGAGGTCTGTCGAGCGGCGAATACATTTTCTTGACTGGGCTGCTGAGCCAGCTAATGACAAGCTGCTTTGCAGTGAGCCAGGAATTGGGGCTGTCCAGCTGTGGCCTGGGTGAATGACAAGTTCTAATTGCACAGCATCCTCCAAGCAGTGTGGTGAAGTCCATCTGGCAAGCCCTGCAGAGCGTTCTCTTTCTGGCTTTGTTGCTCACTCCCTGAATGGCTTTCCTGCTGTCTCTGGGCTCCTAGAGTCTTTCCAAGTGCTCCTCTGCCTTTTGTGTGTGCGTGCGTGTTTCACAGGTGCTGAGATCTGTCACCACCGCAGGTTAAAATCAGAAAGGACAGACCCTCAGCCTCTCTCCTAAGCAGAGCTATAAAGAGTCAGCCCCTCACTTTGCCCTCCTTCAATGCTAAGGGTTGGTACCTGCGCCGATGCTGGCTGATTGTTGTATCATTTAAAGAAATATGATCTAGCAGGAATAATACCCCAATAGGAAGTTCAGTTAAGGTTGAAGATGTGGTGCGCTGGAGGGAATGGATGTTATCTTTTTGCTGTTATAATTGTTCGGATTACAATAACACCTAGGGACCCCAACCAGCATCTACACACATTGTGGTAGGCACCGTACAAACACTCAATACAACAAGGCAAAGGGTGGAAGAAAAAGAAGCATTATTACCATCCTATTTTATAGACGGGGGAGGGGAACTGAAGCAGAGAGAGATTAAATGACTTGCCCAAGGACCCACAAGAGAGCAGCAGAAGGGCTGGGACTAGCACCTGTTTCCTGAGTCCCTGGTTTAGTACCCTAGCCCATGCCGCTCCTTCTGCAGGCACTGAAATTGCACAGGGAGTTTGTGATAGGATAGCTGGGTTCAACTCCCAGCTGTCCTGAGTACTGGTTCAGTTCCTTAACCACAAGATCCAGCCTTCTTCCTTTCAAGAAGCTTAGAGTTAAAGAATCAAATGTTAGACAGTCTAAAAAAGCAGACAGAAGATGGTGCTTCTCAAACAAGGCACCAATTCACTCTCCAGTTAGCGCCACAATCCTCTCTGCTCTAGCAGGCCCAGAGTGATGCAGACAGCATGGCACGACTTCAGGATGACCAGATGTCCCGATTTTTTGAGCTTTTTCTTACATAGGCACCTACGTAATCCTCCCCCCCACCCCCCGTCCCAATTTTTCACACTTGCTATCTGGTCAACCTGCACAACTTCCAGTTTGGTAGCTGGCCTGAAAGATGCCTTGTTGCTCATTTGGCTCTTTAGAGGTCTCTAGAGACCTAGGGGGCAACATAACTGGGCCATTCTCCCCATTGTGCTCATCTGGCTCCAAGCTCCGTCCCCAGCTGCTCCCGCTGAGCCAAAAATAGCTTTCCAGAGCCAATGTGCCATAGTGATGTTCTAATTCAAAAGTTAATAGCCTTTGAAATTAGATTTTAATCAACTAATCTGTGGGCCTGGGCACTAGATATCAGCTGGAGGAGTCCAGTCACTCGGTTTCACCTCTCATGCTTTTTTTGTCTTTGCTAGGCAGTAGCAAAGAAAGAGCTGGCACCTGTTGATCTCAGCACCAGCCCTACCCTGCCAATCTTGAAGCCCCTAGGTCTTTTCTGGATTTCGGGGGAAGGGGATGGAGGCAAAATTGGGTTTAGAATGAGAACTCAGCTGTGCCTTTCATGCAGGGGGAGTAGTTACCAGCCTTTCCAGTGATGATGTTCAAAACATTTTACCAACATTCATACTACGTCTAAGGGAGGCAAGCCCTATTAAACTCCCTTCTACAGAAAGAGGAACCAAGCTGGCATGGATCCCCACAATCTGTGCTACACTCCAGCTTTTAAACTTGGAGGAACCCCTTTGGTTGGTTTCCATCTGGTTCACTTTGAAGGTTTTTCTTCTCACACATAAGAACTAGAGATTTATTTGAAAAAAGAAAGTTTATATTCTGGAACCAAAGTGTCAGCCTCCTACAAACATACTAGCTCAGTGAGCCACCAAGAGGTTAGATGCCTGATCACACTTTGTTCCCATGTGTGCATAGATCTGTCTTTTTCTTTCCTGGGAGGGACTTGGGAGTAAGTGGCTCCTTCAGAACACATCTGACAGCTCAGAAGATCTCTGCCCCAATTTTTAACCTGCCCTAGGGGCCCTCTTTTTAAGAGTTCAGCTCCCACTTAAGCACCTAAACAAGGGTCATATTTTCCAAAGAGCTCAGCACCACCCATTCCCATTGTGACACTCGGGGCAGATATTCGACAGCGTGCAGTCCACAATATGTGCTCAGGGTGCTGAGCAGTTCTGCTAATCTGGCCCTGTTTGTGGGTGCTGAGCACTAGGAAATATGGCCCTGAGCTATTTTGAACCCCCCCCTACATGCCGATGTGTTGCAGCAATTTGGCCAAGAAGAATGGACCTAGCTCTACCACTGCTGCTTTTGACATAGGTAGAGGAGGACGACTACAGAACAAACCAAACCAAACCCAGTCCCTTTCTCCAGCAGCATAGGGCTCCGCCTTCTAAAAGCTCCCAGCCACTGCTGGTGCAGGAGGAAAGGGCTGAGGTCAGTGGAACTATCCGCCACTAGGATAAAGCTTGTCTGTGTATGGGGCAGCTATTAGTCCCATCGCTCAATGCACTTCTGGAAGGCGCTCGGACAGTATGTGGGGAGGGACATAGAAGAACCTGAATAGAAGTCCTGGAATTTGATTCCCCTACCCGGCTAGACTGCCCAATATTTATGGTTCATTTATTATCTATTGGATATTCGTTTGCACTGATTGCCCCAATCCCTGTTAGGTGGATAGAGTCTGTTCTGAGTCTGTGCACAAGGAAACACCTATATATTTTGCTGTGGTTTCCTTCTTTCCCCATCC